TCCACAGCAAGTTCATTTGATCTTGTTTTATGCATGGTATTCAGAGTGAGAAAAAAAAAAAACCACCCACTCCTTAGGGGTGTTGTAATTTGATAATAAGCATAAGGAATAGAAAGGAATTATGAGCTCATTCTAGAGTTATGTGGGCCAGAGATGTAGCTTTAGCACTTTCGGCAGAATTTTTAGAAGCTCTGTGACCATATTTATTTTTTATGTTTGTACATATAGACAGTATCATGTAAAGTTCATGTCTTTAGCTTCACATGATACTAAAAACGTAAAAAAGCCTGAAAACAAATTGTATTAATTTCTTTTCTTCATCTCAGAGAGCTGTTTTATAGTATGAATGCTATAGAGAAAGTTCATGCTTGGGGTATTAAAGTTTTCATGTTCTCCTTGATTTGCATCAAAAAGTCCTATTAATTTAGGTTTCACATCCAGGATTTAATCATCATTGATTTAATCCTACGGTAACTTTTGAGGAAATTATAATTCTCGGTTTTTGTTGGACTTTACTTAATAAACAGCTACATTTGGCTAGTTCAGACTGGGTGCGCACACTTGGGGTATCCCAGGATAGCGTCCTGGCACCGCTCATCTAACTTGGTACAAATCCCAGCCTCTGCAGTTGATGGACTGGCCAGCCTATTAAACCTCCCACTGTCACCGCTGGACCCTAGCGATTGGTTCAGGGTGAAGGCGCGGAACCAATGGGAGCCACAGCTCGCGAGAGTCTGTGAGCGCGCGGGAAAGAGAGCTATATAAGCCGAGGCGGGAGAGTCATTTTGGGGTCCTTGTCCAGTGAAACACTTTCCTGGGAAGTCATTAGTTTCTCTGTCCCCTTGCGTTTGAACATGGTGCGGACTAAAGCAGACAGTGTCCCGGCCACCTACAGAAAAGGTGAAGCGTCAGAGTGCGGAACTGGAGGGCGGGGGAGGGGGCTCTTGTGGTCACCTGTCTCTGGGATGGAGATGCCCTGGCTCTCCCGGCCCTGTGTGCTCAATTCCCCGAGCCAGGAAGTTGCAGGCACAGGAAAGGGTCATCCTGCTGTTCTGCACCTTCCCTCCCGAGCTGCTAGGTGTAGAACCAGGGTGAGAACATGTCTCAGGACTTAATGTTTGACCCTTGTCTAGTTCTGAATGCCCTCCTTTGCCTCTCTTTGCAGTGGTGGCCTCTCGAGCCCCCAGGAAGGTGCTTGGTTCCTCCACCTCTGTCATTAATTCTGCATCTCTTTCATCAAGGAAAGGTAAGCACCCTGCAAGCTCTTGTCGGGAGAAGGGGGGGGGCGGATAAGAGGAACTCTCTGTATCCTCCCACCCCAAGCACACCCCCTTCCGTCGCCTCAAGTACCCCGACCTATTTGGATTTTTTTTTTTTCTTTTGTAGTACTAGAGATCGAACCCAAGGCCATATGCATGCTAGGCAAACACTCAACCACTGAGCTATTTCCCAGGCCCTGTGGAATTATTTTTACCCCCTCCGGAATTTATTTTACTTGGGATCCTCATCCCTAAATTTCTTTCTTCCTTGCTTTCTGAGTGGGCCTTGGTCTTTTAGTGAGCTGGTGTAGGTAGTGGTGGCAGTCTCATAGAAGAGACTCTCAAGCCAAAGCTATTTTTTTTTTTTTTTTTGGTTCAGGGTTTGTATTTTTCTTAATCCTGACGGTTGGCATTTTCTTGTTTGAGGACCTCTTTAGTAGATTTAGGATGATGGCTGACCATACTAATTAACCACACTGTTTTTTTTGAAGGATGTTGGGGATGGAACCCTTTGCACATGCTGGGCAAGTCCTCTACCTCTGAGCTCAATCCCCAGCCCACATTTGTCCTATACACATTTTTATGCCTTAGTTTCTGCATATTTTCTCTTCCATCTATCCATTCTTCTTTCCTCCCTCCCTTCTTCCCTTCCTCCTCCTCCTCTCTCTCTCTTCCTCCTCCACCCCCCACCACTATCACTGGTCCCCTGCCTCTGTCTTTGTGTGTTTTCTAACTTTGCAGTTCCTGATACTGGGAGAGTAGGAGGAGAACCCAGCAAGGGAAATAGCTTCACATTGCTTCTTCTGCCTGTGGAGAGGATGAGAAAATGCCATCTGGTGTTGCATTCCTTTCAGTAGGAAGTTGAGCAGGCAAGACGGTTCACTTAATAAGGTTTAGTTAAGCACATAAAGGGAAACACTGTTTAGGAAAAATTTTTTAAATTTAAATTATTTTAAGACCGGGTTCTCTATGCAGCCCAAGCTGTGATCCTTTTGTTTCAGCCACCCTAAATTTCTCCCTATTCTAAATACATCATTAGAAAATATTTGCTACTTCAGGCTGGGTGCCAGTGGCTCACGCCTCTAATCCTAGCTACTCAAGAGGCAGAGATCAAAAGGATCATGTTTTGAAGCCAGCCCAGGCAAATATTTCACAAGACTGTATTAGAAAAAAACACCCCACAAAAAAAAAAAAAAAAGCTCAAGGTGTAGGCCCTGAGTTCAAACCCCAGCATTGCAGACAGAAAATATTTGTTACTTCAGTCTCTTCAGGTAAAAGGGAATAGTAGACAAGATTTTGTAAGTAGATGATTTATTTAGAATTTCTTATCCCTGTACAACTGAATAAATTCCATCAGGGCCACATCCTATTTTCTGTTCCTCTGCTGAATCACCAGAGCCAATTGAACAGGCCCTTAATATGTGTTAAACAGGTGCACTTTTGAAAACTCTTTATAGATCTCTATTTTTAATCCCAGTAACTGTGATATCCTCATTTTAAAGATTACATAACTTTGTGAAGGTCATACAAATCAGCAGAGCTGGGTTTAAATATATTGCTATTGGCTTGGGTGTGGTGGTGCAGGCCTGTAGTCCCAGCTACTTGGGAGGTAGAAGCAAGAGGATTACTTGAATCCAGGATTTTCCAAGCCAACCTGGGTAACATAGGGTACCACATCTCAAAAATCAAAGAAAAAATTATTGTTGCAGCTGGGCACCAGTGTCTTATGCCTGTAATCCTAGCTACTCAGGAGGGAGGATCAAGGTTGGAAGCCAGCCTGGGGAAGTAGTTCTCCAGATCCCATTTTGAAAAAATTTATCACAAAAAAGGGCTGGTGGAGTGGCTCAAGGTGTAGGCCCTGAGTTAAAACCTCAGTACCACAGGGGGAAAAAAAAGAAAAGAAAAAACTATAGTTGCTGTATATTGTCTAGTAGTGAAAGCATTCCTGTAAGTTTTCTTTGGCAAAATTATGAACCAAAGGATCACTTTTTGTTGTTTTTTGAGGCTGGCCTCAAACTCATAATCCTTCTGCCTCATTCTCCCTAGTGCTGGGATTACAGGTTTAGCCATGACACTTGGCAGGATCTCTATTTTTTAAAGGTCACGTGTACTTTCAGAACAGTACAAACAATATAACTTTAGAAAATCTGTATAGAAACAATTTTTGTAAGCTTTTTTAACAGTTGGAGTTTGTGATAAACATTTTAGGTTTGTTTGTTTTTATGGTGCTTGGGGAATCAAACCCAGGACCTCACACATTAACAAGGCAAGTGTTCTACCACTGAGCCATAATCCCAGCCCTGTGATAAACATTTTAGTTTAAAGAAAAAAAATATATGTAGTGACAGTAATTTTCTCCTGTTGGCCTTCTGATCATTGCTTTATAAAGGTGCAAAAATATTTTCTTCTTTTATGTTACTATTTAACGATAACCAGGAATTGGATTTCCCTTTTGAACTGAAAAGGAGCCAAATGCTTTGAAAAGTGGAATCTACCTTTGTGGAAACTTTCACATTCTCTCTATTGTCCAGCCCAGGCCAATAGTTGGCGAGATCCTATCTTGAAAATGTCCAACACAAAAAAGGTTGGAAGAGTGGTCCAAGTGGTAGGGTGCCTGCCTGGCAAGCATGAGGCTCTGAGTTTAAACTCCAGTACCACAAAAAAAAAAAAAAATTTAATTTCTTAAAGGAATTATATTCTTAGTTCTTACTTAGTTCTGCTTATATTTTACAGCTGAAAATAAGTATGCAGGAGGGAATCCAGTTTGTGTTCGCCCAACTCCCAAGTGGCAAAAAGGAATTGGAGAATTCTTCAAGCAGTCCTCTAAAGATTCTGAAAAAGAGAACCAGATTCCTGAAGAGGCAGGAAGCAGTGGCTTAGGAAAAGCAAAGAGAAAGTAAGTTCTTAGATTCTGGAATATAAAAGAAAATATCCTTTTGAAAAGAAAGGACAAACGGGATATTGAGTAACTTTAAGGTTTCTCTTTAAGCTAATAAGAAAATACAAACCCTGTAATCCTAGCTACTCAGGAAACAGAGATCAGAAGGATCGAGGTTCGAAGGCAGCCTAGGCAAATAGTTCACAAGACCCAGCCTCAAAAAATGTATCACAAAATGGGCTGGTGGAGTGACTCAAGGTGTAGGACCTGAGTTCAAGCCTCATCACCACAAAAAAAAAAACAAAAACAAAAAACCTAAGTTTTTAAAACTTGTACTAATTATGTATTAATTTCTTACGTGTCACTCTTATATGTTAAATAGCAGCAAAAAGTATTATTTTTACACATTCTAAAGAGAGTCAGTTCCCATTCAGACAATAAGTGCTAATAACTATGAACTTAACCACCTTTATTCTTGTTTTTTTTCTTTTCTTTGGTGGCACTGGAGTTTGAACTCAGAACTTCATGTTTGTAAAGCATGAAGTCTACTGCTTGAGTCACACCTCCAGACCTTTTTTTTGTTTTGGCAGAACTGGGGTTTAAACTCAACTCAGGGCCTCACGCTTGCTAGGCAGGCACTGTACTGCTTGAGCCATTCTGCCAGCCTTTTTTTGGTTGGGGTATTTTTCGAGATAGGGTCTCAAGAACTATTTGCCCAGGCTGGCTTTGAACCTTAGTCCTCCTGATCTCTGCCTCCTCCTCAACTATGTACCAACTTTCAGTAACAAATATGTATCATTTTTAAGAATCAGGAAAAAGGGCTGAGGATGTATCTTAAGGGTAAAGCACCTGCCTGCCATGTGCAAGGCCCAGGGTTTGTTCCCCAGCATCTCAAAAAGAATTAAAAAAAGATCTGAAACCTGCCTTTTCATGGGTTTGTTAAGTAATAGGGTTCAACCTCTCTAAATTGTTTTACTTAAAAATTTTAGGCCAGGTGCTGGTGGCTTTGCCTATAATCCTAGCTACTTGGGAGGCTGAAATCAAAAGGATTGAGATGTGACACATGGCTCAAGTGGTAGAGTGCCTGCTTTGTAAGGGCTTAAGCCCTAAGTTCAAACCTCAGTTCCACCAAAAAAACGAAAATTTTGACTGGCCAGATGCCATGGCTCACACCTGTAATCCTAGCAACTCTGGAGGCCAAGATCAGGAGGATAGTATTTCCAAACCAGTCCAGGCAAATAGTTCCACAAGACCCTATCTTGAAAAAAATCCTTTGCAGAAAAGAGCTGGTAGGGTGGCTCAAGATGTAGGCCCTGAGTTCAAGATCCAGTACCACACACACAAAAAGAATTTAACTGGGTGTGGAAGCAGAGGGTGTGGCACCATGTCACTGTCATTGTGATGCCCCTTGAATGTAAGGCCTGCCTGAACACCTCCACACCAGCTAGGAGCCAGGAGATCCTCCAGCCAACCAAGCACCAAGGTGGATACAGCATAGTCACTCACGAGGGTAAGAAGATGTTGGCCAGGCTCAGTCTGGGGCTGCTACTTCTGGCACTGGTCCTACCTATGCAGATTTATTCATTCGTTCCTTTAACCAGCACACCAGAACCTACTGTCTATTCCGAAACCACCGTGAAACCCTCCGACAATGCCATACCGAATATAGCCAGTACCCTTGTGGTCTTACTTGTTCTTCTATATCTCATCCATTAAGAGGCACAGGCTAACTTGTATTCTAAGAATCCACATGGCACCTAGAAGTTTAATTGGCAAGGAAAACAAAACCAGGTCATCATCAAATCAACTACTTCTACTCATTAACACAGAAATCTTGACAGTCCAAACTGAACTGGCTTGAAGAACATCTGAAGGATCTAACTAGATGATGAATGCCAATATTAAATCTGCTACAGTTTCATGTATAAGACTGAAGAGAAAGACAACATCAAAAATTAATGATTTCATTAAATATGGCTTAAGAAATATGGACCCTTACAACTTTTCCTTGAAAATACTTTCACCTAGGGGAAATGGATGTTCTGTGGAATGAAGATTCAGTTTTCATTTTGGCTCACTAAACCTAGACGACTAAAATAATTAGGTAATATAAAAAGATGTTATTTGTGGGCATCAGTGGCTCACACCTGTAATCCTAGCTACTCAGGAGGCAGATATCAGGAGAATTAAGGTTGAAAGCCCGCCCAGGTAAATTGTTTGAGAGACCCTATCTTGAAAATACTTATCACAAAAAAGGGGGGGGTGGAGTGGTTCATGTGGTAGAGCACCTGAATAGCAAGTGAAAGGTCCTGAATTCAAACCCCAGTACCACCCAATTTTTTTTTATTTATATGTGCATTGGAAAGAACCACTAGGTATTACTATAAATCCTCTGTATTGTTTTAGCAGCCCTAATTTAGTCTTGTGGGTTTGTTGTTTGCTTTGTATTTTTGGGGCTGGGGATTGAATACAGGGCTTTGTGCACATTAGGCAGGTGCTTTAGCACAGAGCTACATCCTCACTCCTTTGACAGTGCATTTAGTTTTCTGTATAGCAATTGACATGTGCCAGGGCAAGGATGAATTAGAGTGTATTCCATGGGTAATTTTTTTTTTTTTGAGGCAAGGTCTTACTAGGTAGCCCAGGCTTGCCTTGAATTTATGATCCTTCTGTCTCTGTCTCCCTCAGGTTGGGATTATAGATGTGTGTCTCTACCACCAGCCAAACATGAGTAAATTTTGCATACATAGTTAGAAATGAAATGATAACCATTCTGTAGTGCACAATACATCTAATAAGGATGTCAGATTCTTAAAGCTATTATATTTAACTAGATTGGCAAGATTAGAAGTACACTGACTTCAATTCAAGTACTGCTTTTAGTGGTACAGAGTGTGCCTAGCAGGCAGTAGCCCAGACCACCAAAAAAAAAAAAAAAAAAAAAGATTTCATTTATAACACTTTTTATTTCTGCAAATATTGAATAATTTTTATAGCTTATTTTATTTTATCCTATTTGGTAGCACTGGGTTTTGAACTTTAGGGCCTCATGCTTGCTAGGTAGGTACTCTACAACTTGAGCCCCTCCATCAACCCTTTTTTATTGGTGATAGGTTTTTTTGAGATAGTGTCTCACGAACTGTTTGGCTGGCATTGAATTGCTATCCTCCTGATCTGCCTCCTGAGTAGCTAGAATTACAGGTGTGAGCCACTGGTACCTGGCTTATGATTTATTTATTTAAAAATTTTTTTGGTGGTACCAGGGATTGAACTCAGGGTTGCTTTACCACTTGAGCCACACCCCCAGTCCTTTTGCTTTTAGTTTATCAGGTAGGGTCTCACACTTGCCTGGGCTGGCCTCAGACCACAATCCTACCTCTGCCACCCAAGCAACTGAGGTTACAGATACGTACCACCATACCTGGCTTGTTTTTGAGATAACTTTTGTGTGGCTGATTGCTAACCCACAATCCTCCTATTTCTGCCTCTTTTATTGCTGTGATTACAGATGTGTGCCACCATGCCTAGCCCTGCTTTTTTTTTTTTTTTTGTGGTGGGACTGGGTTTGAATTCAGCTTTCTGCTTACAAAGCAGGTGCTCTACTGCTTGAGCCATACCTCCAGTCCATTTTGTTCTGGTTATTTTTGGAAGTGGGTTCATGTGAACTATTTGCTCTGGATAGCCTTGAACTGTGTGAGCTACCAGTGCCTGGCTCTGGCCCTACTTTTTATAATTTTATTTATTTATTGGTGGCACTGAGGTTTGAACTCAGGGCCTATACCTTGAGCCACTCCACCATCTGTTTTTTGTGATGTGTGTTTTTGAGATAGGGTCTCCAGAACTATTTGCCTGGGCTGGCTTCAAACCTCCATCACCTTGATCTCTGCTTCTTGAGTAGCTAAGATTACATGCGTGAGCCACTGGAGCCTGGATTACTTTATATAATTTAAAAACTGATACAGGTAGGAGCTGCTATAATCCTAGCTACTTAGGAGGCAGAGATCAAGAGAATTGAGGTTCAACACCAACCCAGGCAAATAGTTCTTGAGACCCTATCTCAAAAATAAACAACACAAAGAAGGGCTGGTGGTGTGGCTTAATTGGTAGAACATCTGCCCAGAAAGTGTGAGGCTGTGAGTTTAAACCCTAGTACCAACTGTAACAACCACAAAAACTGATCTGTTTAAAAGCATATTTGATAATGTAGAAATTATGAGGTAAACATGGTGACACATGCCTTTTAGTACTTGGGAGGCTGGAGCAGGAGGGTCTTGGGTTCAGCCTATATTACATAGCAAGACCCACTCTCAAAAAAAATAAAAGAAAACATAAGAAATACTCTATGAAATCTTTGGTTCATATGATCATATATTGATGTTTAGGTGTTTCAGTATCCAATATGGCCATTGTAGTTTCAATAAGCCTGAGGAAAATATTTTCTATTTTTAGAAATCTACATGGGAACAACCAGATTCAACAGATCTCAAGCTATGGTTCCCTCTTAATTCATATTTAGACACTCTTCCATCTGTTTTGCACAATGTACAAACATTGTGTTTGGGATTGATTTGCTGAACAAACTAAATAAAAATAAATGGCTAAAAGTATAATTGAAATAAAGTATTGGTAGACAAAAACTTAAAAATTATTCAATACTGTTTACAGACCATTTATTAAACTGTTTTTGAGTGCCTACTATCCATGTTATGAGAGATTTAGCAGTAATTCAGTCTTAGGCTTTATGATTTCTGATTTCAGTAAAACTCAGCAAACATACATTTTTGGAGAAAGCTTTTTCTTTTCTGTGTTGCTGGGGTTTGAACTCAGGGCCTACACCTTGAGTCACTCTACCAGCCCTTTTTTGTGATGAGTTTTTTTTCGAGATAGGGTCTCATGAACTATTTTTCCTGGGCTGGCTTCAAACCTTGATCCTCCTGATCTGTGCCTCCTAAGTAGCTAGGATTACAGCACGAGCCACCAGTGCCTGGCTTGGAGAAAGCTTATTTACATGAGCCACCAGTGCCCAGCTGGTTTATATTATTCTTTAGGCTCTTTAGATTTGTTTTCATTTAGGAGAGCTGTAATTATGCCTTCATTAAGATAGCAAATCAGGGGGAGGGGGACGGGAGAGGAGGATGGGGGAACTGGGGGAGAGGTGACCCAAACAATGTATACACATATGAATAAATGTATAAATGATAAAAAAAAAAGATAGCAAATCAGCTGGGCATGGAGGCTCACACCTGTAATCCTAAGGCAGAGATCAAGAGGATTCTGGTTTGAGGCCAGCTCAAATCTCTCCCTCTCCCCCCAAAAAAAAGTGAGACCCTATCTCAAAAATACCCAATACAAAAAAAGGCCAGCAGAGCGGCTCAAGAGGTAAAACATCTGCCTAGCAAGCTTGAGGCCCTAAGTTCAAACCCTAGTACCCCCCCAAAAAAAGGCAACATCTCCTAAATGAAAAACATTGATTCTACAAAATTAGAGACAAAACAAATTGTAAAAATGTTGTTTTCACTAGTACTTCAAATTTGTAGGTGTTTGCCAAACTCTTATTAGGATTTTCTCTGATTTCTAGTCATTTGACTAGACTCACTATATTAATTAGTTAATATTTCTCATTTATGTATGCTTGTTAACTACTTAAACAGTTGGTATCTGGGTAATTATTGAAATTCTCTGTTCTTTTCACAGAGCGTGTCCTTTGCAACCTGATCACACAGATGATGAAAAAGAATAGAACTTTCATATTCAACTTTGAATAATATCTCGTTTACTCTGATATTCTAGGATTTAAATCTGCATAGATGTGTTTGTTCAAATGGCTTTGTTAAATAGGCATTTAATGTTTAATATGAGGCTAAAATTTAGTTATTCAAAAATAAGCAGTTATGAAATTGGAGAATTTGTAAAATTATGGTTACTTAGCTTAATATTCAATATAATGCATGCATGTTGTTTCTTTTACCTATTATTAAGCTTCTTGTTTGTTGATAAAATCAGATCATTTCATAATGTTCTAATTACTAATCTGCTATCTTTGAAATTTGCTTAGATCTTTTTACTGATGTCATTTTTAAGGGCATTTGATAATTGGAATGGTGCCATATTTTTATTTCTTTTGTTTGCTTTAAAAAGCAGACTTTTGCACATTAAAAAAACCTAGTATTAATCACACTTAAATTAAATCTTGTCATTTTTCAGAAAGGGGGCTAAAGATGTAATGTTGAAAAAATTTAGATGGATTATCTTTGTTATAGAAAAAGTTGAAGATAATTTGGTCTTCAGAGTATGATTTGAAGCTTTCAAGTCAAAGCTTCTAAAATAACAGCAAAGAGATAAAATACTAGCATACAGTCAAGAAAAGGGAATCCACAAACTACTTTTAAACAGCAATTTTCCTTGGATATGCATTTGGTTCATTATCATACGGTTTTTCCCTTTGGGCTTGTACTTTTACAGTTGAATATCAATGAAACATGATAGGGAAATCAAACCATAAGCCCAGAGCTATGTCTAAAGTCCTTAGAGTTTCTGTTACATTTCTCATGATACCAGTGGGTATAACTTGTTAACTGATAGTCTTACTTCCTCATCACATTGTTTTTGCTTACTAACAGGCTTCCAGTTTTCAAAATTGGATGTTTAGCAGGCATGTTTTTGTAAAATTTGTTTGAAATAAATGAATACTTACCTATTTTTACAATATAATATCCATTTGTGTGTCCTACCAGATAATTCTTTTATTCTAAGTACAAATTAGTGCATTGATATGATTTTATCAACTTCTAAACAGTTTGAGACCTGATGATTGTTGAATATATTTTTTGCTTTCTCTTTTACAGGTGATTATTAGTTAAAATTTGTTTTGTTTTTGGTGGGATTGGCATTTGAACTCAGGGCTTTGCACCTGCAAAGTAGGTACTCTACTGCTTAAGCCATGCTTCTAGCCCTTTTTTCTCTGTTTATTTTGAAGATGGGGTCTGGAGAATTATTTCCTCAGGCTGGCCTTGCACCTGAATCTTCCTGATCTCAGTCTCCCATCTAGCTAGGATTACAGGCATGAGCCACTGGTGCCTGATTTAAACAGAATTTTTTTTTATCTTAAGTACTTTTTTGATAACTAGGTTTCTCTCTGGGTTTTCCTCTCACTCTCTCTTCTCTCTTTCTTTGGGGGGAGGAGCAAGGTTTGCTATATAACCCCAGCTGGCCTCAAACTATGAAACTCCTTGAACTCCTGTGTCAGCCTCCCCAGTTCTTGGATTATAGGTATGCACCACCATAGCCAGCGTATCATTTTTTTTTAAAGCAGAAAATAAAACCTAAACTGACTAAACCTTTCCCATATATATAAACAGATATACTACTATAAATATTTGGAATCCTTCAATTAACTCACTTTCAGAAGGTGCAGTTGGTCCAAAAGGCATTGTTACAGGGTTTCTTTTGCCTTTAAGAATAGCATACAGAAGTGGAAGAAATCTTTATTGAATCAAACCGGGAAGAATGTTAGAAGTCATCTTGTTCAACATGTCAGTTACTAGCAGCTGCTCATTAGAAGGACTATTCTATTAGCAACTGTAGTGGTGAGAAATGTTTTGAGTTTGAATTATTTGAGCTTGAGTTGTTTTAACTGCCTTTCTCCTATTCTTGGTTCTATCCTTGAAATAACACAGGTTATTCCTTCTACATGACAATCTTCAATTATTTAAAGATAATTATTATATCCTTAGCCCTCTCTACCTAAGGTTTTAATATTCTATTGTTTATATCACTTATATCCTAAAGGAGTTTCTCTGAATCCCTTGTATAAGGGGATGTCTTTGCATATTGTATATATGCAAAATGTAAATTTGGGTAAATTTCTTTTTACTGGTCCTAAGTATTCTTTAATTAATGGTTTGACTGTAGTTTGGGTAATATTTATATTTGGAGATACCAATGGAACTCTTAATATTTCAACATTTATTACTTTAAGGAATATTTAAAATTAGTTGAACAGAATATTGAGTTTTCCCAAAATAAATATTAAATGTGCTAATTATTTAATCATTATAAAAGGTAGTAAATAAAATGAAAAAAGCTTTAAATGGATTGATATAAAAAGCTGGAGGTCCCATATGGATTTTATAGGATGAATGTACTATGGAGCCTATTTGAGATCTAGCCTATACAAAATAATGTAGTTGAACTCACATACCTAGTTTTAGATGGGGGTTTTGCTATCCCTCTTTAGAGGTCCAAGCAGTGAGAATGTTGAAATGATAGAAAATGACAGAAGTCATGTGACTATTTAGGAGGCAAGCCAGTTATTCATACATCTATATAAAAGTGACTGAATTACAAAAAAAGTTGTAGGAAGAAAGGATGCAAACAAATGCTGCTTATAAATCGTTTTTCCTCAGGCAGTGGATAAAATGAGTAAT